TTCTCTTTCTTATCTGTTAGGGTACACTCAATGTTCCAAGCCTTCTTCCATTGTCTATTAATGCTGTTCTCCAGGAAGCTGCATCAGGTGTGAAATTCTGGCTTCCTCAGAGATCTCTAAATTTTAGTGCTGATCACCAAACATCCTAGATAATGCTAATTCCTATTACCATTCGTTAAAAAGAAATTCCATTAGATAGAATTTTTCTTTTGTGGGGAATCTCTCCCAGAGGTTTCCTGTTACTCCTACCCCCTTTCACCATGGCAGAAGCAGTTCTGTGTTTCTTATATTGCTATGTTTGAGTAGGAGCATTTTGAAGGTGTGAAGATTCTGTGTAGCAGCACAAAACATGAATACAACTTTAATACAGGGGCTCTTGGGGTGCCTGGGTGGCTCAGTGGGTTAAGTGTCAGACTTCAGCTCAGGTCATGATCTCACAGTTCGTGAGTTCAAGCCCCATGTCAGGCTCTGTGCTGACACTTCAGAGCCTGGGATCTGCTTTGGATTCTGTATCTCCTTCTCTCTCTTCCCCACCCCCACTTCCACTCTGTCTCTCTCTGCCTTTCAAAAATGAATAAACGTTTAGATAAGAAATCTACAAAAAAGATACAGGGGCTCTCAAAGTATGGTTCCCAGACCAGGAGAATTAGCATCTTCTGGGAACTTGTTAGAAATGTCAATTCTCATTCCCACCCAGACCTACTAAATCAGAAATTCTGGGACTGGGGTCCAGTGGTTTGTGTTTTGACAAGCCCCCTGGGGGAGTCTGAGAAGCACCCTGCTTCCGAGGGTGCTTAAACAGGTACATGGGCTCCTATTGTGGACCTGACTAACTGTACTTTCAGGAAGGGATTAACTACTTAAGGGATGGCTGCCCAGCAGGGTTATTTGTTGTCATTGCTTAATCATTAATGACACGAGCAAGGTATACCTTTACATTTTTCTTTGTGTGGTATTGTAATAGACAAACCTTCAACTTTTGGAGGCCCCTTCAGTTTTCTTTGTTGGTTATGACCAAGAGTAGGAAACAGAATGCCATAAATCCTTGTTTCCAGGGTTACCTTCTTGCTGCTGATAACAGGCAGGAAATTAAAACAATCTGTGATAGTGTTTTGTTCTTATTAGCCACAGATGGTAGCTTTCAGATATGTTGGAGCAAAACATAAATAAATATAGCAGGGAAACTTCATTATTGAAGAAAAATGATTCAGCTAGGTCAAGTTTATAGTCTGGGTTCACTTTCACGAAATGGGATATAGGCAACATAATATTGTTCCATTACCACAAACCATTAAGATTTATGGGGGTCACTGGGTTTTTTTCTTTTTGGCTTAATTTTAAGTATGTAAAACATTTACATGATTTCAAAGTCAACTATGTAACAAATCATATTTAAAGATGTCTCACTTCTATCCATATCCCTTCTCTCCTGCTTTCTTAGTCCTTTATGCATAATCATTTTTATTAGTTTTTTGATTTATTCTCCTAGTGTTTCTTTTTGAAGATAAGCATATATATGTTTATATCTCCCCCATTCCACTTTCTTTACACAAAAGGTTGCATGTTATTCTATATTCTTTTAAGATTATTTTAAAAAGTTAGCTCTACTAAGGGATAACTTAAATTCAATAAAATTCAACAACTTCATGTGTACAATTTGAATTTTGACAAATACATACAGTTGTGCAACCACCAGTACAATGAAGGTATAGACTCTTTCCATCACCCAAAAAGGTTTTCTTCTACCCTTTTACAGCCAATCCTCTCACCCCTCTGGTCCCTGCTAAACCATCTGTCTGCTTTCTCTAACTATACTTCTCTTTCCTAGAATTTCATACATACTTTTTTTGTGTGAATGTATATGACTTCTTTCACTATGTATATAATTCTTTGAAGATTCAGCCATATTAGTACATATATAAGTAGTTATTCTATTTTATTGCAGAATAGTGCTCTATTGTTTATACATTCCAGTTGATGGGCATTGTCCTATTGCTTTTTTTTCCTTTTTATTTTGAAGTGACATTAGACTTACCAGAATACTTACAAAGATGGTACAGAGAGTTTCTATATACCATTGCCCCAGCTTCCTCAAATGTTAACCTCTCCTATGTCCCATGGTATAGTTATCATTTCTTAAGAAATTAATATTGGGGGGGCGCCTGGGTGGCTCAGTTGGTTAAATGTCCGACCCTTGATTTTGGCTCAGGTCATGATCTCACAGGACATGGGTTCGAGCCCCACGTCCAGCTCTGTGCTGAAGTGCGGAGCCTGCTTGGGTTCCTCTCTCACCCTCTCTCTCTGCCCCTCCCCAGCTTACGCTCTCACACACTGTCAAAAATAAATAAACTTTAAAAATATTTAACAAATTAATATTGGTACAATACTATAAACTATAGACTTTGTGTGGATTTTAGTTTTTCCAGTGCATTTAGTCTTCACGTTTCTTTAGTCTCCTCTAATCTGTGACAATTCAGTCTTTCCATCTCTCTGTTTGTTTTTTTTTTTTAATGTTTATTATTTTGAGAGAGAGAAAGTGTGAATGAGCAGGGGAGGGGCAGAGAGAGAGGAAGAGAGAGAATCCCAAGCAAGTTCCATGCTCAGTGCCTTGCCAGTGCAGGGCTTGATCCCATGAACCATGAGATCATGAGCTGAGCCAAAATCAAGAGTCAATTGCTCAACCAGCTGAGCCACCCACACACCGCCTTACCCCCCTGTCATTTTAGAAGAGTGCTTGTTGAGGTATTTTGCAGAATGTCCCTCAGTTTGTCTAGTAATTAGACTACAGTCACACACTTCGGGGGAAGAACACCACAGAGGTGATGTGCCCTTTTCATATTTTACCAGAAGCTACATGTTATTACTATGTCTTATTACTGGTAGAGTTAAACTGGATCACTTGGTTTGCCAGGTTTCCTTGGTGTAAAGTTACTATTTTTTCCTTTTCTGTAGTCTGTCTCCTAGAAGCAAATTATTGCTTTTTAAATTCTGATGTATATTAGTGTGCATGGGACACATAGTTTAGCCACTCCCTCAACCGTAATTATAGTAACAGTAATAACAGCAACTACTACTTAATCCACCTGCATACTTCTAAAAACATGTGGATTATCTCATTTAATGCTCAGGATACTCCTAAAAATGTAGATGCTTTTTTCATGTCCATTTTACAGCTTAGAAGACTGAGGCAAAGAATAGTCTTTCCAAGGTCCAACAGCTACTTAGTAATGGACCCAGACACTAACTTAGCCTAACTTGAGGCTAAGCTTTTAACATGTGCCGTATGGTAGTTGTCACAACTTAGAATGGGGATGCTCTCATTCTTTGTCAGAGAAAATGAATGCTTCTGTTTGATAATTCTTTTGTTCTTTAAGAAATAACTTTGTTTTACTTTCAGGGTTTTCTTGTATGACTAAGGATTTTAATAAGCTATGCATGGCAGTAATATTACTTAAAAATGTTGGAGAAATCCAGGATACTTTGGGGAGCACTCAGGGCCTATTTTTAGACTTCTTCCAGAAATATGACTGTAGGTTAGGGCAGAGTATTCAGAATAGAAAACTGTTTTTGGCGAAGTATTTACTTCAAGGATGACACTGATCCTTTTCTTCCGTGGATTTTTATCAGCCTCTCCTACCAGGGGTGTTGTGTTTGTCTGTGTGTGTCTAAACCCTGCATATTCACGTTTGTCGACCACGCTAATGACTTTTCCACTCCACAATCAAATGTGTCTCTGAATAGCCTGACTCAGGGGATGATAACTGTGGTTCGGTGATGACTCAATATCTGTGAGCCTCTATTCTAGCAACAACGGAGCCACTGAAGGTCAGGCTGTGTGGGTGGACGTTTGCACTTCCCTGTGACTCACAGTGCAGCCTGGCTTTCTGAGGGGAGATTAACTGTAGGTGGCCGCAAAACTCTATTCACCTCCTCCCCGCTCCGTCTCATCGTACTATGTAGATGGGTATCCCCGGATCCTTGAAATCCTACGGCTTGGAGTCTTGAATGTATGTAGGCTGCCATGATGTCCAGCTATCAGTGCACGTTTAAAAAATAAAGTTTTGGGGCGCCTGGGTGGCACAGTCGGTTAAGCGTCCGACTTCAGCCAGGTCACGATCTTGTGGTCCGTGAGTTCGAGCCCCGCGTCAGGCTCTGGGCGGATGGCTCAGAGCCTGGAGCCTGTTTCCGATTCTGTGTCTCCCTCTCTCTCTGCCCCTCCCCCGTTCATGCTCTGTCTCTCTCTGTCCCAAAAATAAATAAACGTTGAAAAAAAAATTAAAAAAAAATAGTAAAAAAAAATCAATAAAAAATAAAGTTTTATGTTTTTACATAAACATACAAATGTCTGTTGTATGCCTGGCCATATGTGCCAGAGTCCAGAGGTCAAAAGCTAATCTGGGCAGGCATATACATAAAAATTATAGCATTTAGTTCCTTAGGGAAAAATGTAACTGCTTAGAATAAGTCTTGTGCTTGCATTCAAGAAATAGTAAATTTTATGAGTAAACAAGTATTTGGGGGATAGATAATGTCGAGTTTATGGGTGTTGAGATCTGGCCTCAGAGGTTAGATGGCTAAGGACTTCTGGCCTCAGAAGTCAGATAAAGTTTTCTACACATCCACTATAGAGAAAGTGTTAGGTACAAGAAAATATAAAGAAGAAAAGGAAAGCAGCTCCCTTTCGTCACCAGAACTTTTGTTTTGCATATTTCTCCCTTTCTCCTTTTCTCATGCAGCAGACACATTTGTTTGTAATCCTGCATTTGTTATGTAATATTATATAGTTAAGGGTTGTTTTCATCATTTAAAGAAAAAGACTGCTAATTTGGTGGGAGAAAAATAACTAGTTTTAACGCGTTTTTCATTAACATTTTAGTTAGGATTAACATTTTGTCTTTGTTGACTGTCAATCTCTGTTTAACCGTGGAGATTGTTAGTTTTTCTACTCTGAATCTTTCTGTAAAATTGGAAATGTTACTAAAGCAAGCCTCTGATTTCAGATGTCCTAAATGATGCTATATTTGATGAAGATCATGATGAGATGGTGATTGTGAAGGACATAGATATGTTTTCCATGTGTGAACATCATCTGGTTCCATTTGTTGGAAAGGTAAGGGTTTTTTCTGTTTCCTGTTAATTTTAAAATATAACAAAAATTTTTAAATTAGGATTATTATCTTTAAAATCATCACCTGCTAATTCCTAATATCCCAGATATGTAGAATTACACATAAACATTTACTCTTTATCAACCTGACTAATCTAATAATTTGAAATTAACAAAACAAAAACCAAGTAGCTGAAGGTCCTCAGGGTAAATATTTCATAGTAAGTACCATGGTATTGGTTAAAATAATGAGATAAAGTTGCCTTTTTTTTTTAAGGTAGCTGCAGCAGACTCTGAAAACCTTTGCTTTTTATTTTGACTAAATAATGTTTGATCCAAGATGTACTTTTGTGTAATATGGCATGAGCAGCAATGATTGCAGAATTTCTTATGGCAGAGGTCATAGTATTAGTGGACTTTGTTTCTAACTCTTTCTGTATTAGGAACAGTGAATCTAATGCAAGCTGCTTAATATTGTCTAGCTTGTTGCACTTAAGCATATCTTTGAAACCGTGGATGTAGGACCAAAAGTAGTCCTGTCCTCTCTCTCCCATTATAATTTTATTTTATTTTGACTTTTTATTAATAGTTTTTAAACAGAAGACTTAGCAAATAGTGTTATGAATACCTGTATACCCATCACATAATTTAATGTGTTAACATTTGCTTCACATTTTTTTGTTAAAATATTTCATTTCGGGGGCACCTGGGTGGCTCAGTCAGTTGAGTATACGACTCTTGATTTTGGCTCAGGTCAGGATCCCAGGGTCCTGGGATCAAGCTCCGTGTGGGGCTCTACACCAAGTGTGAAGCCTGCTTGGGATTCATGTGTGTGCACGTGCGTGCGCGCGCGCTCTCTCGCTCTCTCTCTCTCTCTCTCTCTTTCTCTTTTTCCTCCTCCCCTCCTATCCCCCATCCCCTCCTCCCCTCCTCCCCTCCCCCCCTCCTCCCCTCCCTTTGCCCCTCCCCTGCTCTCCAGTGTGCCTACACTTAAGGGCTCAGGATTTTCAAGAAGGAGGGAACCTTTGAGCTTATCTTACTACCTTTTATTGTAAGTGAGGAATTTGGGCCCAGAAAGCATAGGCTTTGTCCAAGAAGACGGAGGAAGTTAGTGATTTGGGCTGGGGCTAGACTTAGGAACTTGATCTGTGCTCAGCCTCTCACTATATCCTCTTACCTTCTGCTATGATTATCTCTGTGTTTGTGTTCTTGCTAACTTTTAAAAAAATCTATTGTTCAGCAGTGTTTCTCTAAAATCAACATTGAAATGACTTAAGATCTTCAGAAAGATCAAAAGTAGTACAAACAATAAATTATAGCTCTGCATATAAGTATAAAATTTCAAGTGGTACAGAAGATCTTAGCTCCATGGGAAACTTTCAACTCTCTAATTTTTCTTTGAAATAGTCAGTTCAGGTGCTACTTTACTTTCTCCTTCTGCTGACCAGGAAGGTGATGAATTGGTATTCTTAAATTCCCAAAGCACAGTGCTAATAGATGAAAAATCACTAATTACTACTATATCCATTATTCACATGTACAGTAGATATTAATTAGGTGAGCGAATGCAACAAACGCTAGCAAACCATGATGCAAATGAATCTATACTTCTATATTAGGTTAATTGATTGCCTACAAATGGCCGTTTACTTATTAGCCTTTTGTAGAACTAATGTGTTCCCGTAATTTAATACTTGGCTCAAAGAGAGGTAACATGGACATATTAGATGTTAGTCAGTGACTTTTAAGATTACGGAATTGGCTTGGCCTCATAGTAGGTGCTATAAGAACTTAGATCTTAAGGTCCAGGTTTTGACAAGTCACATTTGTAGCTGTGTCCTTTATCTCCCATCAGGAAGATAGTATTCTCCAGCAGCTTAGAGATGGGGCCACCAACCATGACAAAGGACATGGAGACCCTCTTTCTGTGCAGTGGGGTGGGACTTTTAAGGCCACTATGATGTGTGGAATGTCAGTGTTCACAGTTACAGTTTGGGCCATTTAAAGGAAGCTTTCCTGGCTACATTTTAATGTTGCTATAGGATAATTTGCACTGTCTTGAGAGAATGTCCTCTCAATAGAAGAAATACTGGAAGAATTGTATCAAGAGTTTAACTTCACCAGGAAATATCAAGACTATATTTCAAATTTGTCATTTCATGAATAGTCATTCATATATTTTCCTTTTCCTGCACATCTGTAATTTTCTAAATGCTTTTGTTAGTCCTTCATTTTCTTTTTTTTTTTTTTTTTAATTTTTTTTTTCAACATTTATTTATTTTTGGGACAGAGAGAGACAGAGCATGAATGGGGGAGGGGCAGAGAGAGAGGGAGACACAGAATCGGAAACAGGCTCCAGGCTCTGAGCCATCAGCCCAGAGCCCGATGCGGGGCTTGAACTCACGGACCACGAGATCGTGACCTGGCTGAAGTCGGACGCTTAACCGACTGCGCCACCCAGGCGCCCCAGTCCTTCATTTTCTAAGTCTTAAAGCTTCTAGATTTTTTAAGTTTATTTATTTATTTTGAGAGAGAGAGAGAAAGAATGAATGAGCGGAGGAGGGGCAGAGAGGGACGGTGAAAGAGAATTCTAAGCAGACTCCATGCTCAGTGCAGAGCCTGACGTGGGGCTCGATCTCATGACTTTGAAATCATGACCTGAGCTGAAATCAAGAGTTGGATACTTAACCAACTAATCACCCAGGTGCCCCAAAACTTCTAGATTTTTTAAAGAGACATTTTCATCGTGTTGAATTACATAATACATATACTGTCTTCTGTTTCCTTATTTTGTTACAAAGAAGCACTGGATTTTCAACTAACTCGTGATTTCTGTCTCTTCTTTGAAGGTTCATATTGGCTATCTTCCTAACAAGCAAGTCCTTGGCCTTAGCAAACTTGCGAGGTAAGTATGACTGTGTGGTGAGTAGGAAAACAGATTTGTAGGACCTGCCCTTATATGGCTAGAATCTCATAAGGCTTGCTTTCTTGACTGGTGTGGATCTAACTTGGAAGTCACATTACAACATAAAATTTATAGTCACAGAGACAAGCGTATTTGGAGGACCTGAGACACAAATCCCTTTTATTCTCACCCATCACTGCCTTTCTCCCCCACCTTCCACAACTCTTCCCACTGGCACATCTTTGAAGTCTTAGTTCATACCTTTCTCTGTAGAGCCTGGAAAGGACCAGGATGCATTCAGTCCATCCCCCCATGTTTAAGGGTGGTTTACTAACAGTGGGTGGGGGGGGGAGGGGAGAGGAAACCTGAGCAGGAGTCTAATTCCACTGCACTGTTTTCAGACTTTTAATCATACTACCATTTGGGGGTCTTCTGCACCTGAGTATTTGTGGGCATCTTCTGGGGTCCTGCAGGGCCATCCATTCACTTCTGGTTTGATACCTCTGCAGGCACAAAACTGTGCTGTGCCTTCCTTGGCTTTCTCAGCAATATTCCAAAAATAATACCTACTCTCCTCTCTGTTTCTCTTTTCTACTACAGTCTTATTTTCCCTTCTTTATCCTGTGGGTTCATGCCTTTTAAAAAATTCCTTTGCTACTATTTTTATTTGGGCTTTAGGAAGGAGAGGTAATATACAAGTACTGTCATCTATGTTTAAAAATCAACCTGACAATTGGTGTTCATGTATCTCTGATAGCTCAGCAACCAGTATTTTATTGCCCCTAAATATTCTTTGTAATTTCTTTGTATGGAGTTAGTGAGTCCTGGGTATGGAGGAATGCTGGGAGGTGTGGTTGTGTGTGTGTGTTGGGAGAGAATTAAGGACAAAATGAGGTAATAGGCGATGAACATACAGTCAGGTGCCCCCCTCCCCCAAACCAAGCTAAGTTTGGATAATTTGAGATTATAGTGACCATATCAAAATTGGAATAGGGGTGCCTGGGTGGCTCAGTCAGTTAAACATCTGACTCTTGATTTCAGCTTAGGTCATAATCTCACAGTTCGTGGGTTTGAGCCCTACGTTGGGCTCTGTGCTAACAGGGCAGAACCTGCTTGGGATTCTCTCTCTCCCTCTCTCTCTGCCCCTCCCTACCTCTTTCTCTCTCTATCTCAAAATAAGTAAACATTAAAAAATTTGGAATAAATGAATCTTCGTGACCAAACTAACTATATATACTGTGACTCTGATGTATTCCTGCTGCTTTTCCACTTAGACAATGGGATTCATCACAATCCTGAAATGGTGGTCCAGATCTTTTTCAATTCTGTGTTGGAATCTGTAAAAACCACGCTAGCAATCTGACAGCTGCTCTACACAGCTGTTCTTTTTACTTTGTTTTCTCTTCTACTTTCTTACTCATTCCTCTTGGGATTAAGGAGAAAGTAGGTAGAAGAGAGAAATTTAACTTCCCTGGTTTCTGACCTCATTCCTGCTTAGCACTCTCCATCAGACAGGGCTACTTGGTACCATGAAAAGATGTTATTATGTCATAGCTGTAACTGCTTCACTGCAGTAAGGCTCTTAACACAAATCCAGAAGCATCTTGCCACCTTTCAGTGATCTGTACCCAGTGGCAGTGCCGAGGGGTGGGTGGATGTTGGTGGTAATGGGAGGGGGCAAATAATCCTACTTTAATTTCTATTAGCAGCCCCCTCCCTAGTAACTTACTCCCAAATAATAAAGTCATGTCGACTGTGAAAGAAGTGTCTGTACTAAAATTGGTTATTCTTACTGTTTGATAAGCCACAGTCTAAGTAAAATCAGCTTAGTTTCTGTGCAAACCTAGCTGCAGGCCCAGTCTGCTGGCACCCTCCCTTTCAGCAAGACTGCCAACCCTATGCCTTTCCTACATAGAAACTTGGGCACTGCTGACGCTTGTGTTACCTCCTTTCCTAGTGAAATGGAAAGATCTCAAATAATTAAGCTTTTAGGAAATAATACAAAGAAGTTAATGATTAGCATGGGGTTCGTCTTTACACTAATAGGATTAAACTTAAGGGGAAAAAAAGGAACATGAAACTAACTAAAGAACAGAGTGTATGTTACTTTCAGATATTTGTGAAGAAAAATTTGATTGAAGTGTTTATTAAACAGGAAAGAAAGCTAAGATTTTTATCCAGTTTATTTCTTATAAGAAGTGGAATATTTAGGGAATGAAGAGTCATAAAGAAAGCTGAATGTCTTAGCAAAACTTCACTGCTCATTTTAATCTTGTATGTGAAGTTTGTTATATGCTTGCCTTTAAACGAATGACCTTTTAGTGCCAGGGAAGTCAAATATCAAACAGTAAAGCCTTAAGTAACAAGAAAATGCCAGAAGTGAGTTGATCTGGTTTAACTCTAGTAGAATTCTAGAGTAAATGTAGTTTGAATAGAAATTCCTTTTGTTGGGGCGCCTGGCTAGCTCAGTTGGTACAGCCTGCCACTCTTGATCTTGGGGTTGTGAGTTTGAGCCCTGTGTTGGGTGTAGAGATTACTTAAAAATAAAATCTTGGGGCGCCTGGGTGGTGCAGTCAGTTAAGCGTCCGACTTCAGCGAGGTCACGATCTCACGGTCCGTGAGTTCGAGCCCCGCGTCAGGCTCTGGGCTGATGGCTCAGAGCCTGGAGCCTGTTTCCGATTCTGTGTCTCCCTCTCTCTCTGCCCCTCCCCCGTTCATGCTCTGTCTCTCTCTGTCCCCAAAAAAATAAATAAACGTTGAAAAAAAAAAATTAAAAAAAAAATAAATAAAATCTTAACAACAACAAAAAAAGAATTCATTTTGTTGCTAAATATCCATTGAACATGTATTCATTTTCTTGCCTTAGAATAACTGAGTGAACATAGTTAAATCTTGAATATAGAATTGAAGTGCCTCAGGTTAGCTGTGGTTCATCTATTTATTGAGTATCTACTGTGAAAGGGTACTGTGTCAGCCATGATGACTGCTAGAGAGAAGTGGGACACAACCACCGCCCTCACGGAGGGTGGGCAATATGAGGCAGCAGGTACCACAGAAATGCCTGGTTTGGAGCTCTGAGTTCAGAGGAGCCAAGATGACTGTGGCCTGGCAGGATTAAGGAGACCCAGAGGTGGAAAGCTGAGCAGAATTTTAAGGGAAGAGGGGCCCCTGGGTGGCTCAGTTGGTTGAGTGTCGGACTTTGGCTCAGGTCATGATCTCGAGGTTTGTGGATTTTGAGCCCCACATCCGGCTGTGCGCTGACAGCTCAGAGACTGGAGTTTGTTTCAGATTCTATGTCTGCTTCTCTCTCTGCCCCTCCCCCGCTCACGCTCTGTCCCTGTCTCTCAAAAATAAAATAAATGTTGAAAAAAATTAAGAAAGAAAGACCCAGAGGTGGAAACTGAGCAGAATTTTAAGGGAAGAGGGGCCTCTGGGTGGCTCAGCCGGTTATGCATCTGACTTCATCTCAGGTCATGATCTCAGGGTTCGTGAGTTCAAGCCCCACATTGAGCTCTGTGCTGTCTTCAGATCCTCTGCCCCACTCTCTCTCTGCCCCTCCCCTGCTTACATTCTCTCAAAAATAAATAAGACATTTAAAAAAAATCCTAAAGGGAAGAGAAATTCCTTTGGGTATGGTAAATGCGTAAGCAGAGGCAAGTCGATAGAGAGATTAACTGACAGAAGTAAGAGATGTAGGCAGGGATGACTGCAAGATCGTCAGAAAGGTAGGGTGGGCATTAGATTACAAGGAGGACATTATTTTTTCCTTTTTTCTCTATTATAAATGTTTATTTTGAGAGAGCATGAGCAGAGGAGAGAGAGAGAGAGGAAGAGAGAAGCCCAAGCAGACTACACGCTGTCAGCTGTCAGTGCAGAGCCTGAGGCGGGCCTTTACCTGACAAACCAGGAGATGGTGACCAGAGCGGAAATCAAGAGTCAGATGCCCAACTGACTGAGCCACCCAGGCGCCCCTCTCTCTATTATAAAAATAACATACTTACCAGTTAAGCTTAAATACAAATGAGTGAGTAAAGGGAAAGCTTTCCTTTCTATTTCCATTACTCAAAGTTAAAACTAGACATTTCTTGTCTCTTGGCTAGAGATTGTCCTTCCAGAAAATTTCTATGCAAACACAAACATATATCACTTTAAGACTAGCAAAACAGGGGTGCCTGGGTGGCGCAGTCGGTTAAGCGTCCGACTTCAGCCAGGTCACGATCTCACGCTCCGTGAGTTCGAGCCCCGCGTCAGGCTCTGGGCGGATGGCTCAGAGCCTGGAGCCTGTTTCCGATTCTGTGTCTCCCTCTCTCTCTGCCCCTCCCCCGTTCATGCTCTGTCTCTCTCTGTCCCAAAATAAATAAAAAACGTTGAAAAAAAAAATTAAAAAAAAAAAAAAAAGGACAAACAAAACAAAAAAGGGAGAGATCATACCCTACATTCTGTACTACAACTTGTGTTTTTTGTTTGTATTTTTAATTTTTTTAAGTAATCCCAAGATGGGGGTGGGGTGGGGCTTGAACTCACATACCTGAGATCAAGGTCAGTCACATGCTCTACTGACTGAGCCAGCCAGGTGCCCCTTTGTGTTTTTGTTTTTGTTTTAATTAAAAAACCTTGAAGTCCTTTGGACACCTTTTAGTCCAGAAAGTCTGACTCTCTTTTAATGGCTACATAGTATTTCTTTAATTGTTTAATATAATTCATTTAATCAGTCTTTGATAGAGAGTTTACAGTTTAAGACTGTTGTCAAAAGAGGAGGGCACCTGTTGGGATGAGCACTGGGTGTTGTATGGAAACCAATTTGACAATAAATTTCATATTTAAAAAAAAAGTAGAAAAAATGCTTTGGTGAACATGTTTTGTATAGTGTAAATTACCGAAATTAAATTGTTGGGTTCAGGGTAGCCAATTTTTGCTATTACTAAATTGTTCTCTAAAAAAGAGCGTATCAATTTATACTCTAATAATGGGTCAAAGGGTGTGTGTGTTTCTGCACTTTT